GGATTTGGTTTAGATTATACCTGAGTAGCCCAGTGGTTTTTCCTACTCTCTTCAGTTTAAGCTTGAATTTTGCTATGAGAAACTGATGATCAGAGCAACAATCAGCTCCAGGTCTTGTTTTTGCTGACTGTATTGAGCTGCAGAGAATATAATCAATCTGATTTCGGTATTGCCCATCTGGTGATTTCCATGTGTAGAGTCACCTCTTGTGTTGTTGGAAAAGACTGTTTGTGATGATCAGCTTGTTCTCTTGACAAAACTCTATTAGCCTTTGCCCTGCTTCGTTCTGAACTCCAAGGCCAAACTTCCCTGTTGTTCCTTTTATCTCTTGGCTCCCTACTTTAGCATTCCAGTCCCCTAGAATGAGAAGAACACCTTTCTTTGGTGTCAGTTCTAGAAGGTGTTGTAAGTCTTCATAAAATGGGTCAATTTCCGTCTCCTCAGCATTTGTGGTTGGTGCATAAACTTGGATTACTGTGATGTTGAAAGGTCTGCCTTGGATTCGTATTGACATCATTCTATCATTTTTGAGATTATATCCCATTACAGCTTTCCCACTTGTTTGTTGACTATGAGGGCCACTCCATTCCTTCTGTGGGATTCTTGCCCACAATAGTAGATATGATAATCATCTGAATTGAATTCGCCCATTCCTGTCCATTTTAGTATTTAGCATACTCTAGCTTAATAGAGAGGTATCACAGCTCATACCTTACTCATATGCCTGTCCAGTGAGATATTTATAAAGCCATTTGAAGTTGTGACTAACACCATTTGTTATGGCAGTGTATTCCACAACACACATGAAGGTAGAAGGCCTCCTATGCCCATTTCTTTGGAAGATCCTCTTTCTGCAAGCAACATCTGTTCCAGATTTTGGAGGAAGCAACACCCTTAGGCAGGAAGTTCTCAGCTGATCTTCATCTGTGAGAGCACCCAGATCTACAGTGACTCACTAGAGTTGTCACCTCCATCTCTTCTCCAAAGCACCTAATCAACATGTTTCAGAAGAAAAGTGAATGTGTTGTTTCTGATTAACTCCACATACTCATAAAAGCCAGGGATCAGTAAAGAGGACAGAGAGCAAGGCTAAGAGTCTACAAGGATTGGACAGCCTCCAAGGCCCCTTTATTGAAAACGGGCATCTGCAAGTATCACACAATACCAACGACTGGAAATGTTGTAGGGGGGCATATTCTTCTACAGCGGACCCTCGATTTACAGAATTAATCTGTATTGGAACTGTGGCCACAGGTCGAAAATTCTGTAGGTCGAGGGTACATTTCCCATAGGAATGCATTGAAAACCATTTAATCCACTCTAGCCAAAGAAAAAAAATCCTGGGCTTCCAAAGCTGCACCCGCTGCGGGGACGGGAGACAGAGGGCACCAGGGACAGGAGACAAGAGGGCAGCGGGTGCAGCTTTGGAAGCCCTGGAAGCAGGAAGCCGCTCTGCGCCTGCTGCCAGCTTTTGGGTTTCAGTGCTTCGAAAGCTGCACCCGCTGCCCTCTTGTCTCCTGGCCCTGGTGTCCTCTGCCTCCAGCACCAGGGACAGGAGACAAGAGGGCAGCGGGGGGTGCTTTGAATTTCCCGCCCTTTCCCCCTGCCTTTCGTAGGTTGAAGCTCTGGCCACAAGTTGAACTAAAATTTTGCAGCCGGAGCTTTTTATACTTCAAAATTTCCGTAAGTAGGGACCTTTGTAAGTCGAGCATCCACTGTATATATATTGGCTGAAATCCTGTAGTAAACCATATTCCCAGTAAGTGGAACTTGCAAAGAAACTGACTCACCAAATCCCCACTGATTCAATGGGCATACTCTAGTTGCAGTCTGCTACTGGATTTCAGTGATCTTTCTTATGAAGTTTTTTCCAAATATATTTCTCCTGGTGTATTGTACAAAACCTATTAGGGAAATGTAACCAAAGAGGTGGGGGGGGAGTGCTATTTCATCTACTGTATGCTATGCCCATGGCATCTTCTCTAATAGTTTTGTCTGTGGCTATAAACAGCGCTGAAAAAAAGTTCATCTCTCTTTTAAACTCGTCTCATAGCAGATGAAATAAACGTCGGAAGTTTTCCCCCACTCACTGTCAGGCTAATGCTAGTAGATATAGGCCAACATCCAAAAGGACCTTACAGCAAAGACTAATAAATGAAATAAATAAAATGAAGAGACAAATAAATGAAATAAATCCCTCATTTTAAAAAAATCCATTAAAAATCTATTTGTTAGCAGATTGCAACTAAGCTCACAATTTACATTGCAATTTAACATTGACTCTGTCTAGTTAATCACACACAGCTTCACAAGATGTTTGGCTGGCAGATGTGTAGGAGACATGAGAATGGAGAGTAAACCTCTAGGTCACCCAAACAGCTGTTTGTGAAATATATCAGTCCCCTCCCTCCCAAGTATAAAGCTGCAAGAATTAACATCTGTTCTATATCCAGGAACACATATCCCAATCCATAAGACCACAAACCACTGTAAATTTACCTTCAACGTGAGCGCTCTGTTATATTCAGTGTGAAACGTACCATCCCTGTCAAGAAACAGAGCATGGGGGAAAACAGCAATTAATTTTAGAAATGCTGTTAAGAAAGACAGGCAGCTGTTTATTCTGGTCAGAATAAATGAAGTTCTCCTCAGTTTGCAGGGCTATGCAAAACACCACCATGAAAAACAAGTTCTTGAAGCAAACAAGTCTCTAATGGGCAATCATGTCCACAAGCTTTTAATGAGAGTATTTACCACAGGCCAGATGTGGGGAGTGGCAGGTGCACAGGAGAATTTCTATTTCCAACAATGGACCAATATATTTATGCATATTGGTCCCTAAAGAACTAAAACATTTGCTTGCTGAAGTCTCGTGAAAGCAATGAAATGGCAAACCAGCCTTTAGCTGACTGAGGTGGTACAGGCAGAGACTGTCTCAATAGAAGGACTCAGAAAGGAATACAGGGTGTGCAAGCTGGTTCAAAATGCAGCGGCCTTCTTTTGTCGCTGTTGTTTTTGAAAGGTTGTCATTTCTTTCTCAAGCACATCAGCCAAAAAAAACCCCACATACTAGTCAATTCATAAGCCTAATAATGCAGAGCTGAGAGATGTTGACTTTGAACTATATCTCCCAGACTGTTCTGGGAACTGTTCTTCAAAAATACTAAAACTTTCAAATTACGTAATAATGTGATTGGCTTTACCATGTCTTTCAGGCCAGGCAGGTAGGGATAGCTCCTTTTTAGCTCTTTTTTTAAGTAATCTGTACCACCTTAAACACTAACAAATTTATTGTGCTATATATTCTTATAAACTACAGCCCACTTTATTAGATGGAATAGTCTTATTCAGGCATTTTCCAGATATATTCATCAATACGCTAGGAGGGAGAACCTTCCCCCTGTACATTCTCATCATAACACCTATATCCCTGGAGGGTCCCCGTGTGAATTGGAATTCTGATTTTCTCAGGTTCTAATTTGTGTGTTCAGCTTCCACAGATACAGAAGGCTCTACCAACCAGATTTCCTTCCATGCACAGAGCACTCGAGAATTGAGGATGGAAGTAGAGGTGCTGACATGCTTCCATCCCTCCCATGTTTAGTGGCCATATGTTCTAATACCTGGCTAGGGTTACTCTTCTAATATTTTTATCCAAAATTCTGTAACACACAACAAAAAGACACCATAAAAAAGATGTTACACTGAAGGACTGTTCAACTGTTGTTGAGCAAGTTTACGCAACATGGAAGAAGAGGAGCATACTAGCTCTATCCCCACTCCATCATCGCTTTGCTCCCATGAAAAGCAACATGTCTGAAAGGAAGAACTTCCTCTAACAAAAAGGCTATCCATCCAAGCTGAAGGGCAGGAAAATCAGGGTTCCACTTCTCAAGCACAGAGTCTCTATTATGTGTAGCCTCTCTTCATGCCAACACTTTTCATGCAAGCAAAGCAATGATGGAGAAGGGGCAGAATTAGTATGCTTCTTCCCTTGCGTATTGAGTAAACAGACTTAAAAATGTTTGAACAGGTCTATAGTCTACAAACAACAGTGAGCGCCATAGTTGCAATTTTAAAGATTTTTTTTAAAAGTCATTGGTGGTAATCTCTGTACTTTTTTTCAGGCAATAAAGCCCTCCTAAAAAATACAAACTAATATGCCAGACAGCATCTTCCTTTGCAGGCTTTGTTTATATTTGATAGTAAATGGAAAACATGTTTCAAAAGGTTTTAGTCATAAATATTGACCAAAACTAAAAACATCAGCTTACCGAGAAAGAAAAAATAATGTACTAAATTACCTATTACATATTTATTTAGATCATTTCCTAAATGTGTAATAAATAAATGTGTTTATTTTACAAAAAAAAATCAACACTGTTTATCCACATGTATATATGTGCAACATTCAAGAGGTTCACAATTTTGTCTGCCATTCTCACCAAGAATACAAGAAAATGTTCAGACATTTCCTGATGTGAATGGTTAGTTCCTGATCTATTTGTACCCCTGGAATCACTGAAGCAAACAGGATGGTTAGTTTTACAGGCAATCTAGATCAGGGAACACTGTTTCAGGTGATCCTGATTCCGGAGGTCTTGACTGATGGGCTTCCTGGCATCTCCACAGCTTGGGTTGGTCTTCCATGTCAAAATCCTGAATTCTGCCCTACAACACAACACTGGCAAGCTGAAGTGCTAGGCAAGCAAAAGGCTAAAACCTGCTATAATCTCTCAGACACAGGAGAAACAGAGCCATGGGGACCTATCCGTGGGTTTGGCTTGTTTGCTGAGCACTACTGCTTTGCTGAGTTCATTGAGGTGGGGATCTGAAGCATGTGGACTTAATTGAGTACTCAGGAACACCAGCGCTCCAGCACTGGGCAAAACAAGGAGACAGAGAAGTGAAAAGACAGATATTCCAAGTGACTGGCAAATCCGCCCCTCCTACATGAGAACTGGAGAGGACTGGAGGATGATTGCACATTGTATAGTGTACATTTTAGGTTGGAGAAGGAGCCAACCCTTGGGGAAGGAAAGAACTATTTTAGGTTCTTCAAGCCCATCCACATACAGTAAATCTCCAGAAATTGTTGCCTATTGGAAGATACCAGCTCAGTGTAGCCAGCCATAGACTTGCTGCTTGACTATGACTTAATTCTTCATAATGAATCCTCCATTAGTAAACCAGTTTTGTAGCAAGAGTGCAACAAACTGTATATACACTGCAAAGAGACTATTGTTGCCTTAGGCTACAACCTGATGCACACTTTCCTGGGAGTCTCATTTCATCCCAATGGGACTTAGAAGTAAATCCTGTTAAGCCCAAAAGAGACTTACTCCCAAGAAAGTGTGCTGAATATACCACTACAGGATTATATAATCTGACCATTTTTATCATAGCTGTTGAGCATTATAGCGCACAGAACACTACAATGAAAAAGAAGCTTCTCAACCCACTTCTGCACTTACTTGTAATGTAATAACTCTACCCCTTTTTCCTTTGAACTAGGATCAACCTTCATCTTCTTGCATAGTTTTCGGCTTTCTGCATCCCTGAAAGAGAATCAGAAATAATTCCCAAAAATATCTTAACATCATATTATAGACAACATTAACTACATTTAAGTGATTCTGGTTTGGCAGCTCAACAGCAATTATAGATAATTTAGTTTAAATCAGAATTTGAATCTCCATTGGAGGTCCTGCTATATGTCTTATTCAACTGAGTGCTAAGTATTAAAATTGGGGCTTTTTCGGCAGCAGCACGCCAGTGATGAAACTCTGCCCCTAGAGAGATTACACTGTCTCCTTCTAATATGCTCTTGTGAAGCAACAAAGCCTGCCTTGTTCTGTACTTTAGTTTGGGCTTTTAATTCAGGATGTACAGAGGCCACCCAGCCTACTCTGTGTCAGAATACAGGGGTGACAGATCAGATCTGATCCACTCTGTGCTCTTTCAGAGACTCCTGAATCCAGACTTCTCTAACCCAGATCCTTGATGGTATTTCTCTAATAAGAGCTCAGTCTTGTAAATAAGGAAATACAAACATGGAGACAAGGCCATAGACTTGAACGGTACAGGTATGAGAGGAGAGCTTCAGGTCAGGGCAATTGCAGAGCTGGATGCCTGACTTTATTTTTATCTCTCCCGTTCTTTCTTTCAGCTGCCAGGAGACAAGCCACAGTGGCTTCTTAAGGCAGTCCCTGGGAAAAGAATAAACGAGGGACTTTAAATGGGCAATGGGCATGCTCCTCTTTGATTCCTTCTTTAAAAGGGCTATGCAAGGATCTAACTCTTTCCAATACCACATCTACTTTGTATGCCGCCTGCCCTTCTTGATCCCTTAATCTGAAATTAGTGATGCTGCAGCCATAAATGTTGATGATCTACGACATTGCAGCTGGAAAGACAAGGAAGGTTCATTTCTAAGGGAAAGGATAGCTTCCTCTTCATCGTTGTGGATTTTTCATTCTCTTTCTCCACTTCAAATTATGTGCATGAAAATTGGAGTTAACAAAAAAAGATCCATGGGCATGCCATCGCATTAACATCTGCCTCTGGGATCTTTGGTCTAACCTCAGGAGAGTGCAAATATACCCAATTTGGTTTCATTTTTACACATTTGTCTGAAGACAAATGCATACTACTCATGTTGTTTAATTTATCATGTCACTCTTACTTTCACTCTTTAATCTCATTGCACTTCAATATTCCAGTGCAATTATTTCTGTGTTTGTTTTTTTTATCATGTAGGCATTTTACTTTAAACTACTGTGATTACAGCTTTACTGTGGTTTGATCTACTGTGGTTTGGTCAATGGAGTGTAAAATTCATGAAAGCAATAAATAACAGAAGTAAAAGCCACATAATACACATGGCGATGTGTCCAAAGTAAAGCTGGGTATGTGACAAAACCCATCTGGATATTAAGTTAATCTCAATTTAAAATACTGTACAGTTGTTAAACTTGTTTCTTCAACTTTTTCCCATCCTCCCTTTCAACTATACTCTAGGTAACTTAGACAAAACAAATTAACAATTACATAATTTTACTATAACGGTAAAGTAGTAATATAAATTAGTTAATGCCCTTCTGGAAGGCAATTCTGGCAACATTTTTGAAAATGTAAAATTCATTTCCATTGAAAGCAGTATAAAAATTAATGTAGCACAACAGGCAAAAATCAAAGTCAGATTATGTATATAAAGAACATTCTGAGCACACTGCCGTATTTTTAAGGCAAGTTTTTTAAAAGCCCTACTGAGTTCTATCAAGCAAAATTCTATACAGGAGCTAAAGTGTAAGTTAAAGGGGGATAAATTTATAAACATTTCTAAAAGCTAAAACAAAAAGCTGTTTTCCACAATAACAACATCGCATTTATAGGTAAACCACAAATTGCGTATTCAAAAAACATCAGATTCATTGTCATTGAACTTCCCAAGAGGTCTGGTGTCAGGATCTCATCACTGAGAAGTCTCTCCAACAGGTCTCACTCAACAAAAGGAAACAATGAGCTGTGCAGTACCAAATTAGTTCTTTGTCCATACAGCTTAGCATTATCTACTTTGAGTTTTGATGTTCTCAAGCAGCAGCTTTTCCCATCATCTGCTATTCACAGTTCTCTTTAAATGGAAATGCAAGGGACTGAACCTGGGGCCCTTCGTGAAAAGCAGTACTCAATCACAAAGCCACACTGTCCCTCTAAGGAATCAAATACATCAGACCTAGTTTTAACCCCCTTTCATCATACCAGCATCTCCCCAATTGATCCGTATCTGTTTTAAGTGGCAATCCTACTCAGGATTGCCACTTAAGAAGGGATAACACACTTAAGAAGGGATAACCTTCAGTGAATATTTTAAACTAAAAACTCATCAGACTGTCGTGTCAGAACCCAAATACATATTACTTTGACTGCACAACATGTAGCTACATCGATTCTTTTTATATCTTCAAGGATATTTTAATCATTTTGTATGCTCCTCTCTTCCTGTTGATCTGGACGGGGGCATGCACCTCTAACAGAGAAAGCAGGGCATCCTATCCAAACTGCAAGAAACCTGATCTTAACTGGGGCCAGAGAAAGTCAAGGGGTTACAATCTCCCCAGTTCCTCTCTAGGGTCCTAATACGGATCAGATCTTCCATACTTATTTTTGAAAAAGAAAAGAATAAGAGATCAGCGCATGTTGGTCATTACAATTAACATTTAGCTTGGCCCTCTGAATAGTTTTAATATTACTGCTCAGTAATATTAAGCCTCTGTCCTTTATGATTTAGTTGCTAAGAGTACAGGCAAAGCCAATCCCATCTCTTACTTTCCTGAAACTGCACAAGATAAATGGAATTGGGTGACTTGCTCATCATCCTTTGCTGAGCACCAATAACCCACTGGCTTTCCTAGCCCAAGCCCATGGCAAACGTCTCCTTCCAAACCTGTCAGCAGAAGAGGAAGAAGAATGCAAGATCATTTTCCAGAATTACATCTCCTCTCCAGAGTAACACAGTGCACTGCTTGGATGCCTAGCAAGTAATGAAAAACACTGTGAGAGCTAAAACGCACTTTAGTAAACAAGGGGAAAGCAGTAAAATGAACACCTTAAAACACACAGCAAAATGGAAAGAATGTCACAAATGAAATCCCAGTTAATTGCACCAATGAAAGTTATGACACTGAGAAGTGGAAGATAAAAGAGCCAAAAGAGAATAATGGGAAGAGAACTATATTAATCCAGGAACCCGTCTTCTATTATTATGCTACGTTCCCTTTTATCTCATGACAACAATTGGTGGCATCTATGAATGCAGCACAATTCAGCTGCACTTTGTTCCTTCTTCCCTAAAATAATTCTGGATGATGTGCAAAAAGCACAGCCACTTCTAGCCTTTTCTCGGTGTTACCATGGAACTGCCTAAAGCATTCCCCTCCAGTCAGGTGCTCTCCAGATGTTGTGAACTATAACTCCCGGCATTCCTAATCCTTCTCCATGGCAGCTAAAGCTGATAGGAGCTGCACCCCAAAACTTTCCAGTCTGGTTCCAAGGGCACCAGATTGGAAATGTATGGCCTAAAATATCTATGATTTTTCTTTAACAATTCTGATACTGCAAGAAGCACTCTTGGTAACAATTCCCGAACTATTTCCACGATAGAAGAAATTCTGAAAATGAATCCGACCTCATCCAAGGAACAAGGTATTGTCAAATGTCATACAGAGAGATGTCAATATGGTGACTGCAGTAAGCATGTGTTACAACAGAAAGGTTTTAGAAGACTGTACTGGCATCTATAATGTATACAGTATGTAATATGGACACCGTAATTGTTTGGAATAAATAATTATATTCACACAAATGTGAAAGAGTCAGAAGAGGCCAGGAAATTGATACAGGATGAACTAAGATCACAAAATTTAGTGAAATGACAAAACAGATGATGATGATGATGACGGCAACATGCCAACACATCAGTCTTGACTTATGGCAACTTTTTTCAGGGTTTTCTAAGTAGAGAGTGCCCAGAATGGTTTAGCATTCCCCTCTTCAGGGGCTCCTTGGAACTGTGATTTTTTTTTAATGAGAAGAAAAGTGATTCTTAAATACGTTAAATAACTAAATAAAGGTTATTTGTGCTCTGATTTGGAAAAAATGACCTGTAACAGCAAACACTTGCACTGGCCTTATGGATAACAACTGATTATGGATAAATCCTAGCTAAAGCCAAATCCCTGTTCGAGTTGGCTCCAACAGAAGGCCACCAAGGAAAAGATGGGACAATTCATGCCAGAGGACAGGTGTAATCCTGGAGCATGGCCTGGAAGCATTATCCTTGCACTAACACAAATTAGCAAAATAAAGAGGATTAACAGATGAGACAAGATGGCTACACATCTCAAACTGTTCTCAGACTGAGACAGATTAGAAAGGCACAGGGCTGTACACATCTCTGGACCAAACAGTCAGTTTTGGAACTGGAAGTGTTGAGCTCACATCCACCCTTCAGGGAGTGCAAAAATGATCTAAGTCTCTTTAGAAAAACTGGGTGACAGTAACAGGCCCTTTCTGAAACTGAGATGCTGTCTTCACTGCTGCTGGCACACATCTGTTAATTCTCTCAACATTTCCAAGCTGCCTTCTTGCAAACCTGAAAAAATGAACAACAATAAATTCACACTCTTTTACAGACAAGACTTGGGATAACCTGGGTGAGAAGAAAGGTTCGGCAGATACCCTGCAGTTTTCACCCTGACTGCAGAAAATGTAGCATACAGCCATGCGTAACAATGCATGCCACAATAATAATGTGACGTCAAATCAATTCTGTCTTATGGCAAACTTTTTCAGAGTTTTCCAGATAGAGAACACTCAGAAGTGGTTTACCATGCCCTCCTTCTATGGGTGACCTGGAATTGTGCTGCTTGCCCAAGGCCACACAGGCTGGCTCCTTCCTCAGAAGGCACAGTGGGGAATAGAACATTCAACCTCTGGGTCCACAGACAGTGGCCTAAATCACTGAGCTATCCAGCCAGATATACATGCCATAGCACAT